AACAATAAAAATTAAAAATTAAAAATTAAAATTACTTACTTATTAAGTATAAATTTTTTAATTATTATTATTTATTATATAAAATTATCGAGTGAAATTTTATATAAAGATCAAATTGAGATGATGACCAAAATGAGTGGCAAATTAAAATCAATCTATAAATATATATTTTCAAATGTTATAACTATCTGTTTAAGAGAGAAACTATAAACTAATATGGGAAAATTACAGCTAACATTAGTATTCTTAACAAAATATTCGGTGAAGCCGGTAGCTCATCTTTATTCAAAACTCCCATCCACCCTAAAGTTCAACCTAAAAAAAATTGAAACAGATTTTGCTCCTTCCACTCTTATTCGAACCACTTATTCGCCGGCAATGGCATCGGGCCCGTGATCGTTGCTTCCGTCAACAGGGTAAGGCGCAGGCGACTCCGGAACCATTACCCAGTCGCGGCCGCCTCTAGGGAACTCAAACCCGGCGTTGTTGGGTTTCTGCAAAAATAGATTTCCTTTTTAGGTAATTAAGAGTTCTGCAAAATTGTTAATCAAAGATTATTGGAGTTAATTACTGATTTTACGGTGGTATTAAATTAGTTTATTAAATACATTCTTAGTGATTAAAAATTTTAACTTTTACATTAAAAATTTTAAATTTAATTTTTAAATCGATAAAAAATGATTTGAGTAGAAAAATATCATATAATTCACCATCTAATAAAAAAAATAATATTAAATTATACTGTATTATAATTTCATTAAAGTAACTATTTAAAAATGAGTAATTAGTTGTAAAATTCAGTTAACTTATTCTACAATTAATTATGATTAGTGAGTAATTGTTTTGGGTTCTCGAATGTTTTCCTTAAGCATTTTGATTTTTTTAAAGTGGAACATAATGATTGAAACCCCATGAACATGCTACGTAAAACAGGGATTAGGTAGAGCTGTGTGCTTGGGTAACATGACTACACCGTCCGTTACCTCGGGATGTTTTTGGCCTTATTAGTTATTTGTCCAAATTGACAAGATGAAGCGCAAATATTTTTACTTTAAGCGGTGAGGGGTAAAAATCCCCGGACACGACAAGGTCAAAGGCAATCCATGGGGTTTTTAGCCAAGCAAACTTTGGACCTTCTCATGTGATCTGTGTCTCAAATCCTAGCTTGCTTCCAAGTAAACATAACATCTTCTTTGCCAATGCAATATAGGTTTAAAGAAATGGGTGCAAAGAAGCCGCAAAGGGATCTTCCTGGAGCAAACAGTGATTTACAAGTTCTTATCTCCCACGTCTGACAAATTCAGTTTAAATTGAAGTTTAGTGATTTACACTTTTGTTCAAGTCGAGAAACACATAACAAACAAGGTTGGGAATAATCTGCTTTCCTCGACAACAATCCAACTCCGAGAACATTTAACTTAAAAGAGAGGGTTGGGCTATAAACTACCATCGTATACTTTTAGACTGCTTCAGTGTTGCAGATTATAGAATTTGATGGGGCCATTTACCATGGATTACTTTTCGGCTTTGCATATGTAAGTTTAAACCCTGGTCTTCACCTTTGAATTAAGAATAACAAGGTCATACATACCAATTCAACTCATAAGTTTGTTGCAGCTCGTTGAAGTTTATTATACAAAATTTTCATCTCTACAAGACATAAAAATAACCACAGTAACAAAGAAAAAAAAAAAAGGCTCAAAAATTGCTATACCATTTTGTTTTTAAAAGAAAAAATGTATTTCCGGGTAAGATCAAATGCAATATAATAATGCTACAGCGCCCGCAGCTAGTTGGGTTTAATAGTTAACAACACTCTGCCTATCTGGAGGTGCAACACATTGCCACAAGGATCTGTATGCAGGAATATTAGCCGCTTCAACCCCCAAGGCGGCAAGGTTACGCCCATATTCCTGTTTATATGATGTAAAATCATGTTAGTGATGTTTTGTAACTGTGATAGTGAGAGAGATAGAGGGCAGATATTAGTTGGATTAAATGCTTACCTGAATATCAAGGAATAATTGCATGCAAATCTTGTCAGTGTCAGATACATTATTATCTGACACATCTGAGCTTGCCCCAGCTCTTCTTTGGGCGCCTTGCCGTATTCTTTGAAGTGAAGACTCTGTTTTTCTAGCCTGGACATGGTAATCAAGACTTTGAAGTCAAGATATTCTTTAGTTAAATGGAAACCTAGAGAATATTAGAGATTTCACTTGCGATACTAACCACACTGACAAGGTCAGCTGCCAGCTCATAGTAACGCCCGGTAATTTCAGTTGCAGCTCCGAACAATAAATTATTCTTAGCATCGTTTGTCAAATATGTTGTTGCTTGTTCTCCATCCAGAAAAGCCTACAACAGAGAAGGGAGGCCAGTTTATCCATATGACTGTAAGTCCAAAATAAATTTTCAACATAAGATTTAGACACTTCATGAAAAGATTGAACTAAGCATGTAAATAAGTGCAGGAGCATCATTAAAATTTTTATTTTTACTTTTATTCCTTATGAAGTTTGTTGTATGAAAATAATCAAAATCACTTCAGCCAGAAGAGACAGAATTATCAACAAAGTGACCATTGTCATTCATGCATAAGGAATCAGGCAAAAGCAGATGGCATGGAGAACCATGATGTGGTTATGGAAGATTATCAACTAAAAAGATTGTACATACCTTCAATGGTCGCAATATCCCTGCCACATAAGGTGAATGCCTGACAGGAAGAGGTTTATTTGTCATCCTGTATGTTGCAGTTATTCCCTTTAGCTGTCTCAAGTCCTGCATGGTTTAAGAGTGAAGTTATTAATTAGCCGAGAAGAATCAGGGAACTTTATTTCAACATAATGCATCCAGCCAAGATTCATGAAAGGGTTTCACCAAATCTATTTAGAGAATGCAATACGGAAATGTGTTATTCATTGAAAAAATAAAGCTCACCTCAACAGACTTGTCAACCACTGCCTCAATAATTGTGTTGATAACAGAGGGTAACGAATCACTCAGAGATTTTCCAGCCTGTGAAATGCTCTTCTTTACCAGATCAAGGACTTCAGTGGAGCATGTGGATAGAAGCTTTAGTACACCTTCAAGGTAGTCACCACAAATTTCCTTGGCTAGCCAATTAATGTCATGAATGATCTGCAAATCATAAAGCATATAAAGATATAATGTTGAAACATGCAAACATGCCCATGCAGCATGTCTGTCCACTTATCCCATCATTCAAGTATCCCAAAAATACGATGCTAATAATCTTAAACTCCAATCCCATCACTCCAAGGACAGCATAAAAATTCAAAAAATGAAATGAAGCCTTATTGACTAACATTTTATATACTGATTTGAGAGAAACACAGAAATAATCAAGACATGTGCATACATAAACAAAATCATCTGGCGAAGCTGAAATAGCCCACTCACATCCGGCGTTAGAGCTCGCACTACCCTTCTTCCGAGCAGCCAATCCAAATGACAACCAACTCGCATATCTATCACACACAAATGTAGTTGAATGATGATATAGGAGGTTAAATTATGATGCATCAGTAAATTGCACTATCCCTAAAGTTCAGACAATGACCTTGACAGAAGTTGCAAAGATAAGCGAAGAAACTTGTCAGAGCAAGAAATCAGAAGAACGTCCTCAGTCCAGCAGGATCTCAAGCTCTCCAAAAGGGTAATACTTTGTTTAAGTGTTAAGTCCTGAGAATTTTCATCAGAATGGGAACTGTGAACAGGTACAAGACTGGGCAATGTAAGTGCAGAATCCAAAGACCCTGCTATTTCTTGAAACCTGAGTGGTTGAAGACATAAGAAGAGTCAAAATCACTAAATAATTATCAACCAAGTTTTTAGTTGAAACCCCTCTAAAATTTGCACTGGATACCTCAGAGAGAAATAAACCCCAATGTTCCATTGCTTCATAAACTCAACATATACAGGTTCTGCTCGAAATTTCACAACAGCAGCTCCAGAGGGACAATAACCTTGCATTGTTAAAACTTTACTGAAGTGAACAAGCTCCAGAGTAATGTATTTATAGACATAAACTTCAGATGTATTTATTTATTGCTTAACTAGCATCTGATAAATCCTGAATCTCCAAACATAAAATGAGGGGTCTAATTACTACCTTCAAGATGAGCCAAGAAATCTAGGCTTGATTTGTAGTTTTTCAAGAATTCTGTAGGTCTTCCTGGTGAAAAGGCACCAGGTTTTCCCTTCTGGATGGCTGAGAGAACCTCTTTCAGGATTGAATTGGCCAAGAAGTCAAATACATGTAAACCTGAATTTTCTGAATGTACATAAGTATAAATTTATATTAGTATCACGTATACTGGAAATGAAGTTCATATATTCCAACAAGAATCAACCATGGAGAAGTGGAAGAGAAACAGTTAGTCACTGATGTATTAGATAGAAGTGTTACCTGTAGAAGAAATTTCTAATAAGAATTTACAGTCTTTCTCAATGCAATCCTTGATTTGCTTATAATCATCCTCAAGCTCATCCCCAGATGAACCAACCACCACACCAGACAATTTATGTGGAATAATTTTTTGTATCAATAGAGCCACAATAGTAGTACGAAAAATTTCTTCAGCACTTCCAGTGTTATCAACAGCAGCATATGCACGTAAGCAATTGTAAATTGTATTTGCGTCTCGATTTTCAAGCCCATCTACAAAACAATGTCCCAAGCTTCCATCTAACAACAGACTAGCACTCTGGATCCTCTTCTCCATGTTTTGAATGAAAGGCAGGTTCTGTACTAACAGGGTGGAGAAAAGAAATGAATAAAGTAGATTGTACTAGATGGCCCAAAAAAAAGGGTAGATTGTACTACGAGTTCCAAAGAACAAGTTTTAAGCTTATTGATTCTTAGGTGATTTTTGCGGTTATATGCAGATCTCCTTATCGTGTTTGTAAAAACATAATTTTCAATGGAGTTGCTCTTTACTCACTCTCCCAGTGAGAAATAGTACCTTTGACGACTCAATTCTGTTTATGGCTCAAAAAAAGAGTTGGAAATGAAACTAGAAAGCTAAATCTAATGTAGGAAACATACACCCATAGTATTAAAGGTAACTTAGACAACATCTAAAACTACCTTAAAATGATTTTCATGAGCAGATGAAAGATCCTCTAGCAAGTTCTACACATGAATTTTCATGCATGGTAATAGCATTCAACTTTATCCAAATTGCAGCGGAAAAATGCAATTATTATAATCAAATCTCACAATATCTTAAACAAGAATATGACAGACATTATAGCACTAACAGAAAGAACTTTGATTTTATGTTTGTAGATAAAAATGTCAAAGATAGAGGTAAAAGAAAATTAAGGAGAAAAGCTAAGAAAAAGAGACCTGTGCATGAGCAATATAAAATTTTAGCCGATTCATCTCACTCGCTATTCTCTCCAAAAGCATGCTTTGAGTCTCTCTGAGATTTGTTCCATTCTCCGCATGTTGCAAGGAAGTACCATTGCTCAAAGCATTTTTCTCTATCAAATTCATGTCACCATTAGACCAATCTGAAGGCACACTTGGTAACTCCTTTATAAGCTTTTCAACCTACAATTATCAAGAAAAGTATAGTTGCTGATAAAAGAATAATTATACAGAAAATATTGGAAGCTGAAGTCCTGAACTTGCACATGGAAATGACCAATCCTCTGACCAGTTGCCTGGCAGATCTAAAGAGAAGAAAGCCAAAAGGGAGTCAAACACAAAACAGCATACTTAGCCTGGCCTCATCAGGTCAGCTGTTAATTTTACAAATATTAGAGTAACTAAACTCCATAGGATAGCTAAGGAAAGAGATTATTCAACAAAAGTATCATGACTTCAATGTTATATATGGAATTACAATTATTTGGAAAAGGTTTAACTAGATTCATATTGCCAATTACATTAGATGTCAAAAGCATCTTTAACATCAGCGAATTCATGTCAAGGACATTAGATCCAGTAGCAACTGGCAAGATCCTAAACTCAGAACCTCCACTAAACAATTGAAGATTGAAAATACTCCTAAATATTATCTTTCCTAGATAAATATAAACGTCAAGTCTTCAGCAAAATTTTAAACCTTAGGCCATGTATTACTAATCATACCGAACATAAGTAGATTCAAGCTCGCTCAAACCCGCATAACATATGATTCACAATATAAGATACCACTTTTAAGCCCAGAACTTCAATCTACTACAAACCAAGATCCTGCTTTAACAAAATGAGCATGTTCTCAAGGGTCTCAGTTTCGATGTACAAACTTCATAAAAATTCCCAAATCCACGTCTAGGTGAAATTCTAAAATATATCTGAGTTCTAGTCAACAAGTCATCCAAAAAAAAAATACTCATTTCAAAATTAAGATCTGGGTTGTATCATGCCAATTACTCACTAACAATAAGGATCAAGAATTCAATAGTGAACTTCTGACTTCAGTAGCATAAGCAACAAAAGAACAGGAAAAATTTCCAAATTTTACAGAAAGGAGAATCTGAACTTCACATTACCTTGGAAACAACGTGAAACGTATCAAGCAGCAACTCGAGTACCTCCCTAGCAGCGGCAGCCTCCGACCGCTGTCTGAGACCATTTCTCAGAGCGACGAGCAAATTCTCAACAGCCGTCCTAAAGCCTTGGATCTTCTCACGAAGCTCCAAGAGGGGAGCTCGCATTCGAACCACAGCAGCATCCACATCGACGAGCTTAGTGGACAGATTTACAAAATCAGTATAGTCACGATTGATGAGGTCTATAAGCTCATGGTTGAGGGACGAGAGATGAGACTGGAGCTCGGATCGGAGCGTGTCGAAGGGGACGAATGTTCTGAGCTCCGAGATGTAGGGTTCGGAGTCGAAGTCAGGGGAGAGGAAGAGGGTGGGCTTGAACCAGAGAGGATGAGAGTCCAGCGGGTCAGAGAAGAGGTCGGTGGCGGATTTGGGAGGTGTTGTTGAGATCAGATCAACCATTTTCACCAGAGACGAAGGTGTTTGGATGGTGGGAAAATGAGGGAAAAGTAAAAGCACTGCACAGATTTGAGGTTAGATTTGGCTAATTGGAAAGCTAGTTATCACCGGCGATTCCTCTACTGCTTGGCTATGAACAATGCAGAAGAAAAAAAAAAATCAAAAGCCAGTGTGTATCTCTCTCGTCGATTAACTAATCGATCATTTCCTTTTCTTTTTCCTCCTGGAACGAAAACTGTTTGGAGAGGGAGAAAATCCAGAGAGAAAAAAAAGTACAAAAAAAAAATGGAGAAGCGGAGGAGCTTAGCCTTATCGGGCTTGGGCCGTTATGTGATGCACAAGAAAATTACTGTGTATTTCGTTTCTACTCCCTTGTGATTTGGAAGGTTGCACCTTTGCTCCTCATTTTTTGTGCATTTAGTTTTGAATTGACGCCGTTTGAAAATGGATGAAATTTGT